TCTGTAACCCCTATAATGAGGAGACGGGTTGTTTCGCGGTATGCTCTCAAGATTAATTGTGGGTGAACTTCACAATGGTTATTGCCATCAGAATCCGATTTTTTTCTTACTAGCAATGACTGTTATTATAATGCGAGATTTTAAAAAGCTGAATTACACAACGAACTAGTTACCAATATTTTCTATAAAAAAAAAGGCTTTTTTGTACACTAGGCTTGTTACCAGGGTTCAACTGCTGTGTTGGTCGTTAGCGCTTACCACAGTGAGTATATTTTAAAATACACGTACTTTGTCTTCTTTTTATTTTTTTACTTTTTTGTAATATTTATTAAGTGACGGGACAAACAAGTTGTTCGCCTGATGGTAAGATACATGCCTGTCCATAACAGTTGCAGTGCCACACAGACCTATAAATCGCAAAGATCTTATGGGCATTGCCACTGCGCCTGTCACTCTGAGACATAAGTTGACAAGTCCCTTGTGCCTGTAACTTCACCAACAGCCTTATCGTTTTAAACCGAAACGCAGCTTAATGCTCACATTGCCTGGCGGCAGAAATAAGTAAGGTGGCACTAGTTACCTGGACGAACTCTTTCACAAGGAACTCTACTGCTATTAAAAAAATCTTATTATATCGATGGCATACAATGTAATGTTTGCCATCGTGGTGAAAGGATTTGTCAATCAGCATAAGGTTCTCGGTGATTGCTACCCAAGAATCGCCAGACGTACAGGGAATATGAATACGTCTTACGGGGAGGCTCCTTTCGTGCATCCCAAAGCACGTACCGATGCGGTCTAAAACTTCTTCATCTCTCTGTCAGCGCGTGTTGATAGTTTTATTTCAAACAATTCGTGTGGTATCCATTTCTACAGTTCTTTTTATTTCATCGATTTGACGCAAATGCGTGAGTATTGTAGAGATCATAGAGTAGTAATAGAGTAGTAGTTCTATTGAGAGGAAATTTTGCATACGATGACAATATAATAATAAATGTTAAATAAAAACTTGATCTAAGTAATATACAGAACTAATTTCAAATGGTTTTAATACATATTAAGGCAATACCTATTATAACGTAATTCTTTTTACCTTAAAATGAATTGTTTGAGTTACACTTTGATATGTACATTAATCATACAAAGTGGACGGAATTTTATTCAAATAATGTCGAAAACATACATTACTTACTTATGTCGTAAACTCTTTCTTAACTTGCTCCAGTATCGATTGGATACTTTTTGTAACATTAAACCTGTTGCAGTGATTTCAAGTTGACATATTGCATAATTATAATACTATAAAATGCCCATAAGAAATTTAAAGGTTGCAAAGTGTAACAGCACAGTTACTGTATACAATACTTTCTTTACATCCGGTTTTTTTCGTATAATTACCTACTTTTACTTACTTTGATTTATGTAAAATATTAATAGTAATATTGATTACATGGTACGTAGCGTAACTTACGTTAAAAGATACCATAACTTACAAGTTTTGATAGAAGAAGCGCTTATATTTTTCACTCTCTCTTAACGAATGCTTCATAATAACTGGTACCCTGTTGTTGAGGGCCGTAAATTCTCCACCGAATCTACTTACACCATTTTAATGATCCTTGACAACAGTTTTTATTATCTTAGACATAGGTACGTGATGTGTTCCGATATTGTAAAACGTTAGAGGCGTCTCACTATAGATTTCTAATTCACAGGGTAAATAACGTTATCCCTACTAAAGATCACATTTATGAATTGCCTAATATTAATTTAATTTTATTAAGCAAGTTCTGAAAGCCCTCAATTCATTATTTTAAAAATATGCCAATAATTGCTCCACATATTACAGTTTGCTCGCAACACGTAAACTTCTAAAAGTCGTGAAGTAAGTGCGCTCAGCTGAGGTGGCCGCTGCGCCGCTAGCGCCGTATGATGGCGTGTGGAACATAACCATTGCGCAAACGTAGATCACGGCTACACGACACGACGAGGACTGCACTAAATCGGACATGCATGCGTAGTTATTTTAATATTATAGGTGTTTTCAAGTGATTATCAATTCGTTTGGCATAACCTAACATAATAATAATCAATGCCTAGGATTGTGTGACGAATTTGATACACAGGAATTAACATTTTTTGTTTAGTATACATTATAATATTATTGCTTGGATGCCTCAATATCTCATCATTAAGTACACGATAGTTTATAGCAGTAATCTTTTGTTATTTTAAGCTTTTTTACATGCAACAACTCTAAGGGCCGTATTCCAGAACTCTACTCAATGCTCAAGTCAGGATCAGAGTATGATTTCAAGCACTGGAAATACGACTAATGGCAGGGACTTGAGTACGATTTCGAGTGATTTAAACCATACTTAAATCCTGACTTGAGCATTAAGTAGGGTTCTAGAATATGACCCTAAGAGTCGTATTCCAGAACTCTACTCAATGCTCAAGTCAGGATTTCAGCAGACTTGAGTATGATTTCAAGCACTGAAAATACGACTCTAATGGCAAGGACTTGAGTATGATTTCTAGTGCTTTGAATCATACTCATGTCCTGACTTGAGCATTGAGTAGAGTTCTAGAATACGACCCTAAATGAAACTAAAACCACTATCATGAATGAATTAAGTAAACCGACGAAAGTTTGAAATGTTCTCCAAAGTGAGATTTTAACCTTTTGCTGAAAAGTTAAGCCCAAAGGATGGGCATTGTTAGTTGTAGCTTGATAGCGCAATAAAGATGGCATTTAGTCATCGAGGGTGAGGGGCGCGCATTGTTCGGCGCCCGCGCCGGTGTTGTCTGCAATAACTATAACCTACTTACTGCTGACGCATGCTATAAACTTTAAAATTAGGGAGTAAACGTAAACGTAAATTAAAACGGGAGTTTTTAAAATCAGCCACTAATACAAATTCCTACTTCATAACTCATTTATTTGTGGAAACATGTAGTTGTGTACTGTAGTGTAAATTGATACTAACATAATCTCAGTACAGAGTACTAAAAAAACCGACCTCAAAAGTTCGTAGAATTACATCTATTTGCCAAGTTTTATTGAAAACGGTTACCAGAAAGTGCGCAAGACCGGATTCATACCCAAGTTTGCTACTTGTGTGGAATATTTTCTTCAAACTTAAATGGGACCACTACTAAGGTACCCTCTTTCCAACAAAAAAAGAATTATCAAATCGGTTCTCAAATGCCGGTTTTATCGCGTAACATACATACAAAGATAAATACTGTCGAATTTAGAACCTCCTCCTTTTTCCGAAGTCAGTAAAAAATAAGTATACGAGTAGTTTTCCGTGTATTATTTTGTTTGTATGATATCAAGAGATGGAACGTACAAATCGCGCGTCTGGTAGTAAGGGGCATGCACGTCCTTAATAGTTGCAGTGCCACTCAGAGCTTTAAATCACAAAGATCTGAGGAGCATTGCCACTGCGCCCATCACCAGACATAAGTTGACAAGTCCCATTTGCCTGTAATTTCACCAACATCCTTACCCTTCAAAACCGAAGTGCAGTAATGCTCAATTACTGCTTCTCAGCAGAAATAGGGAAGGTGGCAGAACGTCTCTGGACGAATTATTTCACAGCTCTACTGGTACTATTTATTGTATAATTGTATAGTTTCACTGCACCCGACTATACAATAGGCATATACAAATATTTTGAAGGTATAATGCATATTAACTTCTCAACTAAGTCTCGTTCTTATTCTTCAGTCCTCTCGGGTTATTCGAGTTTGTTTGCTTCAAAAACTGAAATCTATATGGATGTTACCTCTATTAAAGAACGAAATAAATGTGTAAGTAGGTATGCAAAAGTGTAGATAATGAGTTTTGCTTTAACCCATTAAACAAAACGTAATAAGTCAAGAATTTTGTGAAATGAAATGAAGTTTATTTTCATTGAATACATTTTACGAGATGGTAATAATTAGATTAGAATTCTTCCATTCCATAAATGTACAAAAGCAAGCTTAATCATTGTTCTAAATATTTAATCACAAAGTTACAGTTTTTCTATAATTTTACCTTTTGTACCTACAATTCAAATGTAACTTTCTTAAATGTTAGTTTTTACTACTTAGTATAAATTTTCATTCACCGGTATTAGGAAATTCAAAAATACAGTATAGTTTTCCCTGGTTACCCGTACATAACCAAGTTACATTATCAGCACTGGAGAGAAAAAATATTCCTGATACAAAACCAAGTAACGTAGCAGGAATTGGCATATTATCTACAACAAATCGATGTCACTAAATATGTATAGCAACAACTGAGAGATTATTTAATTAGAAGGAATAATTCAAGTAGAAGAAGGGAAACATAATTCTAAAATCAATTTCCTTAGAAATAAACATTGCATGCAATAGCAATGAGTAGGCGCAGCGCTCGCGCGTTGAACTCTTTTGTGCCACGAGACTCCGGCGCAACGTTCCGCGTGGAAAAGAGCTCAACGAGGTCGTACTAGCAATAATTGAACTTCTTATTGTTTCTGATTGACAAAATTGCTGCATTGTTCTCGATACCGTTTACGCTAACATGTAAATTACCATTTCCTCAACAATCTAGGATAAATTATATCCGTGGCCTTATTCCGAAGGCACATAAATACACACTATGTTTATATCTCTATAACTTTCTGTTGTTCTAATATGCGGGTTTGTGTTCTTAACACAAAGTTGTTGTTCTTTTTGTGATTAAAAATAAATCCTAACAAAAGGTGTACCTATCTAATCTATGGTCACATTTCTTTACAAGCTGGTTACTATTATCAATCTTATAATTATTACATCAAAGTTGTCTTTTATCATTACACGTTAACGCTACACATAGTATTCAGTAATTAGCACTTATTTAGCTATACTGCAGTAAGTTAATAAAGTTCTAATGACAGATACTTGTGGCAGCTTTTGTAAATGCACTTAACTTATAACATTAGATGTTAGAATATAAATATAAGTAAAAGCTCAGAACTCACCTCGTCCGTGAAGGCACGATCCAATTAGAACCAAAAATTCGTTTTAACACTGCAGTGAATTAAGCACGAGTTGTAGCACTTGGTCTCTTTAATGGAGAACAGACTCTAGTGAGTTCATAAAAAAGCCCTCAGATGATGAAAGGGTTCAAGTCCTTTGAGTCCTGGCGGCGCAGGCGCAGGTTGTCGCGGTGGCGGTGTGGCCGGTGGGGGGTGCCGGCGGCGCGGGAGACGGTCCAGCGTCCGGCCGCACTACGCGCCTCGCAACGGTAAACTGGCGGCCCGAGTGAGACACAGCCTCTCCTCGCTTGTATGAGTGCCTTCAACCTCCCTCCAAACAAATAGTACCGTATAACGCGCTTGTGTCTTGGTAACTTTTATTATACTTTTATTAGTGTTGCCTCGCTTTTGCGCCTGTGTGCTTCATCACACCAACTCAGAGGCAGTGCGGCGACGTGGCACACTCGTGTGGGTGTCGCTGTCGGTGTAAGTAAAGTAAAGTACCAATGCGTGCTTTGATCTTATGATTCGGTATGCACGGCCGCGCCGCTGCACGTAGCACCGTGGCTATATTTTACTTCTATAATATCTAGTCAATAATTTTAGTCCGGAGCTTGTGCAATAGCACACGTCGTATCGGCCGCGCTACAACTAGACCAGGAATCGGTATGCAGGCTGACCACGAACGTCTTCACTACCACTTGCACATGTTGCTTATTCTAGACTAATGATTCGAGTAAGTGGCCAATAAAAAAGCAAAACCCTCTATATTCATGCAATATTTTTCATAGCAAGATAATATATTCATTGGCCTATTCAAATATCGTATGTTATTAGAAGATTATATTTAGTTGGCGGTAGATACTAAGTGTAATAAAGTATCTAAGTTTTATAATTTAATGAAAATACTATAAATGTACACAAATAGTGATAATACAAAGTTATAAAATTCTTATTTACATACTTATTACATACGTCACTATGTAAGATTCAAGCTAGAAGTTTATAGGCTAACAGAATTATGTTGAAATGCAAGGGGGACAGATAGCAGAGTTGCTATCATATTATATTAATAATTCAGCCAAATCGTTGGCTAGCAGACCGCCTGTTTCTATTGAGCAGTCCATTGACATAGGTCAGTTTACTGATAATAATAAATCTGTTAAAAATAATTCAATTTCCAATTATTTAAATTAATTAGTACGACAACGGTGATATACTCTTGCAACATAGTGACAGTAAAAACCAACCTAAAACACATAGAAATAAAATAAATTGTATATTAAACCTTATGCACCTAAATATACAAGGAATGGAAGACAAAGAGTTAGAAATAGAATTATTTATTAGCTGTATATTGGTATTCTTTGTATTACTGAATTTTATCTAAACATCAATTCATGTTTAGCTTCAACAATCACCAGGTGGCTAGTTCGTTCAGCAGAGAAAAAGCTATTCATGGCTGCTGTTTTATTTGTTATTGAAAATAATTTAAACCTTAAATAACGTCCAGATATTTTGAGCCTATCTATTGAGCGGACTATAGAGATATCTTATATAGAGCTTGAACGGCTTGTTGTGTCAAACGTGTACAGACCCCCTCATTCATCTTACGAACTATTTGAAAAAAATTAGATGAAGTTTTAGGTAAATTAAATAATCCAAATAAATACATTACTGTTTGTGGTGACTTCAATGTTAACTTATTAGAAGATTCCAGTGCTAGCAGTAGGCTCATATAATTTTTCCAATGTTATAATGTTGTGAATCTTTTCTTGGTGCCTACTAGAATAACTCCTACTACAGCCACTTGTTTATACAACATTTACATTAACGCCGTACCTAGTAATAAATCTATTATAAAATGATTACAAATAAATTAACGTCTGAGCACTGCGGTCAATTGGCCACTTTTAATATAACTGTTGATAAAATGCCAAAAAAGGATATCACATGTGTTCCGATAAATAATGGTCGACTTAAAACTTATAGAAATAACGTAATGCTTAAACTAACTGACATTCCGTACTTTAATGATCCCAATAAATTGTATAATTCAGTTTTCAACATAGTGAAAATTTAACGTTTGTGCAATGTTTATTCAAATGTTTTTAAGTCCAAAATCATAACCATTAATAATTCATTGAAATTTACTGATTTGCGACCGTGGGAAAAATAGACAAGGCTATATTTAACTACCTCCGTGGCCGAACGGTTACCATGCCGGACTGCCACGCAGAGGTCCCAGGTTCGATTCCCGGGCCGAGAGAAATATTTGTATGACCTACATTTATTTCTCTCGTGAGTTTGGGTGTAATTTGTGGTTGTCTATGTGTGTGTCCATGGCACCCGCGACACAGGGTTTCCCTAGTGGGGGGCTATGTTGAGTGTGTGCGTTATTATATTATTATTATATTATATGATCTTTACGATGAAAGGACCTATAACACTAGTAACAGTTTTAATGATTTTGTTAGGAAGTATTCGAAAATGTTTAAACGTGTTTGTGTTGCAGCCAAAGCAATGTTTATAAATAATAAAATTAAAAGCAGCGAGAATGTCGTAAAAACGACTTGGAATATTATAAATAGCGACACTTTGAGGGTCAAACCTCGTAACTTAGATTTTCAACTAAGATTTAATGACAAAATTTTAAACACAGACGCAGAAGTTGCTAAAATATTTTTTACTTACATTCCATTTTTGACTACTAAGTCGTTAATTCACTCCCCAACGTCATTTCCCAACGCCGCTGAATCCTTACTCAAAGAAAATAATGCAGTTAGTATGTCATGTATTTCCAAATGACATTGTTAAAGCCTTTAAGTCTATAGGCATAAAAAATACTGCAGATCTTGATGGTCTTTCAGTCAGAGTAATTAGTTCTATAGTTGATTGTATTGCGGCTTACTTAGCATGTGTCTTTAATAAATGTGTTGATGATGGTATGTTTCCTGACCTCATGAAGCAAAGTAAAGTTATTCCACTTTTCAAGTCTGGTAGTATTTCAGACCCCACCAATTTCAGACGTATTGCAATACTATCAACTCTCAGTAAAATATTTCAAAAAAATATTCTAAATCAGATGTGTGCACATTTTTATAGTAATAACTTAATGTATTAGGAGCAATTCGGTTTCATTCGGGATCGCTCTACAACCGATGCCGATGTTGAATTGATGAAACATATATTTGATGCATGGGAAGACTCATATGATGCTATTGGTGTATTCTGTGACCGTTCTAAAGCTTTTGATTGTGTGCACCATAACACTCTGGTCAGGAAACTTCGCCATTATGGTGTGGCGGGACGTAACCTCGGCCTTCTTAAATCGTGTTTGCGTAGTAGGGTACAGAGGGTGGATGTTAACAGTACGAGATCATCAGGGTCTTCAATTAGCATGGGTGTCCCTCAAGGTTCCATTCTAGGCCCATTTTTGTTTTTAGTTTATATCAATGACTTACCTAGCCTCTTGGAGGGTATAAAACACGAGATAGTATTGTTTGCTGATGATACTTCCTTATTATTTAAAGTTAAAAGGCGCCAATGTTCCTACGACGATGTGAACAATGCTATGTCTAAAGTAGCTGATTGGTTTGTTGTTAATAACCTACTCCTTAATGAGAAAAAACAAATTGTGTTAAATTTACAGTACCCAATGTTAGAGAGACGGTTACAAATATTGTTGTTCGAAATGAAAAATTTAATCTTATGGATACAGATGTATTTCTAGGTATAATGTTAGATGCTAAATTACAATGGGGTCCACATATAAGTAAGTTATCAAAACGGCTCAGCTCTGCAGTGTACACGATTAAAAAAAATACGGAAACTTTCAGACGTTGAAACCGCTACATTAGTTCACTTCAGCTACTTTCACAGTCTAATGACATACAGCATTTTGCTTTGGGGTAACGGAGGAATAGTAATTTCTTTATGAAAAATAGTGACAGACATAGCATTAACACGAGGAACAAAAATAAACTAACTATTCTTGATAGTCGTCTTTACAAAGTCACAAATTCATTTAAGGGGCAATGTATACTCTTTTATAACAAGATTCCGGTTGATATACAAAATTTGCCATTCACGAGATTTAAAACTATAGTGAAACAAAAACTTTATACTAAAGGTTATTATACAACTTCTGCGTACTTGGATGACAAAAATCCGTGGTAATAACCCGTTTAGCTCATGGAGGTAGTCTCGATCTCTGATGTCTCAAAGCAAAAAAAAAAATATATTGTAAATGTTGAATTTGTACAAATGCTATTTACAAAAAACAATCCCTAGAATTTCTTGCACATTTTTTTCTCAGGGGAATCTGCCTTACGAATGAGCAGTAGGGTTTAAACAATGTGACAATTTCAAGTGTAATAATGAAATAAAGATTATTTTGATTTTGACGGTTAAATTAATTAAATGATAATAACTTATCAATCATATCAATATTAGTAAAAAATATTTTTTTACAAATATAAGCAAGTTATGGAAATAATCCTTATGATTGACCCTTTCGATCGGCATCACAAACGAATGCTTTTTTCACATCTTTTTAAATAGCAGTAGAGCTCTTTTTGAAAGAGTTCATCTAGGAAAGTATTGCCACCTTACATTTTTCTGCTACCAAGCAGTAATATGAGCATTACTTTGTTCCAGCTTTGGAGGGTTAGGGTGCTGGTGGAATTGCACACACATGGGATTTCTCAACTTACATCTCGGGGTTACAGGCGCAGTGGCAGTGTCCTTCAGATCTTTGCGATTTAAAGCTCTGAGTGGCACTGTAACTGTCATTGACGGTCGTGGAGCTTACCATCAGGCGCACGACTTATTTGTCCCATCACTTAGTATTTTTTTTTTTTTTAAATGGTCGGTTCGATTTCCAGATGAGGCAAGCAACTTTTAAAAATCTTTGAACGCAGTGTTACTTACTTTTAAAACCCAATAAATGACTCCAGGAAGCAAAATATCCCATCTATATTATTTAATAGTGGCACTTCACATGGCTATTTGTATTTGCGTGTTTCATATATTTGGCAAACACACACCATGTGTAGATAGCGTGTGTGACAAAGTATTGCCTTGTTTGCCTGTTCGACAAATACAGCAAACACCAAACTCGCGTAACCGCGCGCTGGTCGGTTAATCAACTCACATCAAAGGAGCCAAACATATTTTTTCAGGATAGTGTGTGAGCATTCTCCTGCCTGCGCGGCGGAGTGCCATGCTGGTTCTGAATGGGCC